GGTCAATCAGAAGAGAACACTGTCTTCTGGCAGTAAGAGATGTGCTGGATGGAGATCTTGGGGGAACAGCCTCAATACAGGGCCTTAGGGTGCTCTTGATGAAGGAGTGAGGGTGTAAGTGCCAAGATCTGTGAGGCATGAGAGGTGCCAAATGCAGTCTCCCCAACTTTACCTCTGATGTGAGCTCACAAGCCTGGCCTCTTGTCCTCTCCTTTTCCCCGCAGTGTGAAAAGATCAACAGATGTGGATTCAGGGCTGGTCTAGACCAGGCACTGGGCCGGGGGACAGGGAGCAGAGAGGATGCAGTCTGGCAGCCAGTCCCCTGAGCGTTGGCCCACAGGTCTCAGCTCCGCCTCGTGGCCCTCTGGCTTATAGTCTCCTTTTCATGAGAGCCATGGGTTTGATCATCTTTACCATCCTGTTCAGGTCAGAGGGTCTTGTCTCCCTGAGCAGGTGCACTGGAGGCCAGCAGGGTAATTTTGTAGCTGCACTTCTCACCCTCAGCCTGGCCGGGCAGGCTTTGGGCAGGGAGTGGCAGGGTATGGCTTGGAACCATAGACCAGGATCTGGCCTGGCTTTCCCTTTTCACAAGAGCCCCCAGAAAAGGCCAGCTTTGGCGTGGTAACGTGGCCAGCCTCAGACCAGACACTATTCTGCTTCGTGTGTGTGATGGGAGCCACAGAACCTGGGCCCAACAGGTCCCGTCACTCATTTGTTCAACATGATAGATACCTGTACTCCATGCCAGGTGCTGAGCTACAGACACTGGGGCAGCCCAGACAGATAAGAGCCCTGTTGTCATGAAACTTTCAGTCTCACTGGGGGAGCAGACAGCAAATAAGTGGACAGGTAAACACATCTGGATGCAGCCAAGAGTGTGCCTGTGTGGACGCTGCCTGGGAGTTGCCCAAAGGCAGACACTGGGTCTCAGCATCCTGAGGGCCCCTGGAGCCCACTGCCAGGCTGGCTCAGAGTTGTCCCCATGTAGCGAACATTTGTTGAATTGCCTGGCATGAGAGAGAAAGCATATGGAAGGTGCCCAGTCCTTCTGGTTGTCCACAGTAGAAGCCAGCGTGTACCCACAAACATCTCATTTCAATTAAACAACATTTATTGAGGGCTCATTATGTACCAACAGGCTCTCAAGCCCTGAGAATCTAAACATGAATAAAATCAGATCCCCATCTCCCTGAGCTCACAGCCCAAGGCAGACGCAAACACAGTGGCTGTGTATGTACCCATTCCCACTAGAGCAGGACTGGGGGTGGAACGTAGCAAGAGGAAAAGGATTTCTACCCAGACCCACCCAGGCAGGTAAACAGATACCCCTAGACATCCACACATGCACGCGCACATGCACACACACACAGGCACACACTCACAGGTGTATACACTGACTACCTAAGCACATATAGATACAAATACTGACCCTGTAGGCTCAGACCTGCCTCACAGGCCATCATGATTAAAGCCTGTTAGTGGTCCCCCAATCTGGGGAGGTGTGTGGGTGAGAGAATGGCCTGCATGTTGGGAGGTCGTACCTGGGGCGCCTTGGGAACCACCCCGCCTTAGCCAGCCTCACCGCCGGAGGTGGGCGGGGCTGTTAGTCTAAATCTGAGAAATTAGGCTGATGATTGGCATGCAGTAAATGTCAATCCCCAGAGACAGCCAATCAATTCTAGAGCAGGCCTGACCTTCCGCTCAGTGGCCGGAAGTAGGGAACTGGACGAAAACTTTAGTATTTGTGCTTCTGAAGGAGTTTGAGCCAAGTGGGGGTCAGGACAGAATGGGTGGAAGAAGGGGAGTGCTCGGAGTTAGGCGTACCAGGCTCACATCCCTTTGGTGCAGTACTCTGTACTTTAGAAACTGCTCGCTGCTCTGTTTGGACTTTTTGCCTTTAGGAACTAACAAATGCAAAGTGTTGGGAGGTGCTCCTGGCACATAGTAGCCCCTCCTCAGTGAGAGGTCAATCTGTCCTCCCAGACCATGCCCCTGGTGTGTTGTGATAAAATTTCTGGCCTGCTTCAGCCATGAGGAAGAGAACTGGGGACACAGCCTACAGGAGGAGGGACAAGGTGAACCCGGGGGCATGAAGTCAGGATTCCTGCCCCTGTGAGCACCAGCCTTCTTGACTGCACAGGGCCCAGCATTGTTCACTGAGTGAGAGATGATCCCTTTTCCATAGCTGCCTTCTGCCAAAACCTTGGAGGGTTTTGTGTATTCTTTCCACAGGAGAGATTTCTTTGCAGTAATAAGAGCTTTTATAGCAATTTCTACCTGCCAGGCGCTGTTCTGTCTACTTCAAATGTAACTAATTTGATCCTCTTGACAATCGTTATGAGGTAGGGATGTTATTTCTCCCATTTTACAGATGCAAGAACTGAGGCCCAGAGCGGTTTAGCAAATTGTGCGAGGTCACGCAGTAAGTGCTGGAAATAGGATGGCACCAGAGTCCATTCTCGAACCACCGGGCTCTGCCGCCTCTCTGGAAGGAACGTCTGATTCTCCTTCCTCCCTCCCTGCCTTCTCCTTCATTCTCACTAATACACCAGGGGTGGGGGGTGCAGAATAAGTCACTGACCCTCTCTGAGTCTCCATTTCCTTCTCTGGGAAGAAGAAAGTCCTCTCGGCCCGGCAACCTCAAGCTGTCAACATCCCTGCATGGGTTTCACTGTGAGAAAATGGGTGCCCTGGTGCAGCCTTTTGGGGAGCAAACATTTCAAGCTGGGCATTCTGTATCTTGCCCCCTGGAATAGGGCCAGGATGGAAAGTCCTCTCTGAGCCCCATCAACAGACCCACAGCTGGGCTCACAGGCCCCTGGAGGCCTCCTGGGAGGACTGGGGCTGGGGACACTAATGAGGATACCAGGAGGGAAACCCCTCTCCCTTAAAGTAAATCCATGCAGAGAAACTCATAAGCTGTGCGTGCAATTTGCACATGGGCCAAGACCCTCAGAGCTTAAATATATTCCTGGGGGCTATTTATAGTCTTGGAAAAATTAGAGCTTTCTGGGTAATGGGAGTGCTGCAGACTCCAGCTGGTCAGGGCCTGCCAGGGACTGGCAAGGGAAAGTGTGGGAACCATGGAGACTTCTGGTGAAGGACTCCAACCTCTAATGAGCACATGCTCAGAGCAGACAGGCTCCTGAGTGTGGAAGGCATGTCCCAAAGAGCTCAGGGAAGAAAGCCCAAACCCCCTTACCTGCCGTTCAAGGCTCCCAGCTCCCCTTTAAATATCCCCCTCACCGCTCTCTACACAAACTCTTCCAGCAGTTACCCCTAGAAAATTCTCAGCTCTCACACTCCTCTGCACTCTTGTCCACACTCTTCCTGACTGGATTGCCTGTACCTGGCTCTTCTCCGGCACATTGAATGCTCTCACCCCTCAAGGCCTGTGAAGTCCCCATTCCTGGTCCCCCCCCCCCCCCCCCCCCCC